CAACTTTCACAGAAAACTAACATGGCAACAATATGTTCTGCATCATCAGCAATACGCAAGCCTTATAGCATTACTCTAGTTGTTTCTTGCAGATCTGTATTTTCATGATTGGTTGTCACGCACAGAGTTTTTCGTCTTGAGCCTCAGAATATCAATAATAAAAAAAATGTGTAATCAGCATTTTTGTAAAAGCAACGTAATAAGAAGGGACAAAAAGTATGTATTCTTTACATCAAATTTGAAATGTTGGTGTAAACACTTCTTTCGTGGAACGAGCATGTCAAGTAAACACTCGACACACACACACACACACACACATGAAACTCGACAGATGCAACAACGATTAAGTTGTATACAAGAAAGGATTACGTTAAGGTTCAAATAGCAATTATCAATGTATTATTTCTCGTTCGTCAATATCAGATGGTTTCACTCATTCAAATGTCTACGCTCCTAGCGGTGACTGTACTCAAACATTTAAGAAAAAGCAAAACTGAAGAAAAAATGTTAATGACAATTGTCAAAATAGGAAACAAAAGTGCTTTCAAACAAATTCATACAAATTAAAGAGGTTATGTTGACAATTTTATCATTTACAAGAGAACGCACAACCATTCCTATAGAAAAATAGGCACAATATTTATTTTTTTCTGACTCTCGTGTCCTCTGAAACAGTTACAGCCTTGTATAAAAGCAAGCACAAGGAGGCTTTTATAAATGGGTTTATCCGGTCAGCACTTCACAAACTAAAATAACTCGAAACATTAGAATAACAATATTTCGTTATTTGGAAATAGTTTCCGCACATTCAATAATTGTTTAGCAGATATTTACCGTTTCATATGCAAAGCTAATTTTATTACTCTCGTTTCATAAAATTCCAGTAAGTTCTTGTTTCAGAGCTCCCGTTCAGTGTACACGAGAACTTGCGCGTCAGGAATAGCACATGACGTTTTCGAAAGAGATAAATCGTTTGTGTCAAGCACTCGACGTGCAGTAAACAAAGCTTCAGAAGGTTTACTCGTCCAACACGTTCGCGCCCTCCATTTTGCAAGGAAGAGTGGAAGTACATCTCGAACAATACCATTGCAATTATGTTGCCATATAGGATTGGTATGATCTAATTTTCAAATTCTAGAGCGATTGATTTTTTAATTTCCAACCAGGGTCAAATATATCCCGAAATAAAGGGATTTGGTGTCGGTGGTGCTTTTAAACATATTTCTTCTATTTACATTTTATTTTACATATTTAAAAAATATTTTTTTCTTCTCGATTGAATAAAAACATCACGTTTGTTCGAAACCCAATGTTTCAAAACCAAAAAATGTAAGATGTCGATATAATAGCGCGAATAATGTCTCTGTCTTGCCTACTCCTTTAAGACGCTGAACGCGTAATGGTTTCCTTCTGTGGTGCGTACATTCAATTCGACAGCAAGCCTTTTGATGTTTTATTTGAAAATTCGTTTGAGATATTACAGTCAATATTCTTACAGGAAAAGCTGTGTCTCCGAAAAACGTTCATACAAAACGGGAAAAACTTGGAAATCACATATCCTCATGGTGGAAGAAGGAAAATGGCAGTAAGGTAGCAAGAGGCCACATTGAACATGGCTTGAATGGAAGTGTGGTTGACAAAAGTAACTCTCACAGCCCTCAAATAGGCGTGAAATCTACCTTAAGGGTTGCAATGTTTTATTTTGTTCCTTATTCACATCTTCTAGAAGAAACTTGGCGAACAAGTGCCAACAAATTTACGAATCAGATCATTTTCCCTAGCCAACAATGCAATAAATAATGTTCATTAAATTTCATGGGATGCTTTAAAATAAGCCTTTACGGAGCCAATAAATGAAAACAATCATACTCCACCCATTGAAACAACAACTCCAGGTTCCGCGAAGAGCGGCTCTGTCGCCGTCCGCCATCTCTATCGTCAATTATTTGAATAGACCCTAAGAAACGCCTTCACACATGCGACCCAGCTATTCAAAACCAGCACACTTTTTCGAAGCAACTACCCGCAAGCAAATTTGTTCTTTCATCAGATAAGCGGTTTTGTCTACGTCGTGCACTAAGGGCATACGAATCCAATCCGATCTTGTCATTCCACAACGCCCCGTACGCCCTTCTGGAAGCGACTACTCACTTTTATCATATTCGGCGGAAGCGCAGGGCTGCGCAGGGCTGCGCGGGGCTGCGCGGGGCGGCGCGGTGCAGCGCCGTTCAGCGCCGAGGGCTATTCTGGGCCGGAGGCGCGGGGGCGAGTCGCGAGTCGCGAGGTGCAGCGGCGGCCGACTGCGCAGCTCTGCTCCGCGCTCGCTTCCCGGGCAATCGGAAGCGCCGCGCTCGCGTGCTCTGGCGCCGATAACCGATAGACAGGGCGCCGCTCTGTTCCCCCCAGTACGTCGGAGAGTTATGGAACGTTACGTCCCGTCAACAACAAAAAAAAATCCTACTTATCTGTAGGGCGAAGATAGTTTTTAATGCAGAAAAATAAACATACGAATTGTATGTTGGTTTTTTGAAACGGTAACTTTTTAGACGAAGTCTTCCGTCATCCTAACCTAACTCATTCTCCAATCCATAGTGTTTTTATAATAAAAAATAGATAACACCGGCATTTTCAATTACACTACATCATTTAGGCGAATCGGTAGTAAATGTCAGGGTTCAATAGATTTCAAAGAAAAATGCGACAGACGTGATTTTCCAATATTGAACATGCATGAATCGCGAGCTTTCAGAAACCGAATAAGGTTTTCTTTATAAAAAATTCATAAGCCATTTTCAGCGCAATATCTTACAAGGAGCGAAAAATATTCCAAGATATAAATGAAATTTATAATTGTGTAAGTATTTAAAAGCAGTTATATGCACATTAATCATCCATTAAATTAATTTCCTTCTTTTCGATTCGCTAGGACCCCTTTGCACTTTGACTGTAAACATAAATTCTTTATGTCACGATGAAGCTCAGGGGCTGGTAAAAAAGAATCAATTGTGTTATCTGTTGTTGATCAACTTTGGTATTGAAAGTCATCTAATTGGTTTCATTGCTCGTAGTCCTTAAAGCCAATTACGTAAAATTATTCACATTTATAGCAATACATTTTACGAAATAAATTAGGGACACTTCCAATGGAACCTTTCAACTCAACACAGCTGAATGGAAAAGCGTATTCTTTACGCATTAACCCCACATTTCACAATAATCAAGTCTTATCATAACGCCATAATAACAATAAGTAAGATACATTAAAAATCATGGAAACAACGTCACTGATTGCAAACTAATTCAGTAGAAGTACAAACGACGTTAACGGGAGAACCAATTATATATGTCCTGGTGCAAATTCAATTTCTTGCGGATATATTGTAAGAAAAATTTACGTCAAACAGGCTCGTTACCTTCAACCGAAAGGTTCATTTTTTTAAAATGAAATTTCACTTAAAGGAAATAACGCACAGCATATAAATTGACGATAAAATAATATAAAAATTGTAACAAAAAAATGAGAGTAGTACGTCAATAACGGAATGGGTGCAAAACCGAGTCGTAGACAAACGCGTCGCTCTGGAAGCCAGGGCGTGACGTCAGCGCACACAGTGCTCGTCGGGCGCGCGAAAAACAGAGGGGAGGCTGATTTACGCAGCGATGGGCCGTAAATCGCCGCGCGCAGCACGTGCGCGGGGGAGCGGAGCGCCAACCTGGGCGCGCAAACAATATTTTGAAAAATAAACTAAGCAGGTTTTTTTTCCTTATCGCGACCTAGATGGCGCAGACGGTTCGCGAAGCGGCTCGGAGCTCGGTGCGAGATGTCACGAGTTCACACCTCTGATCGTAAAAATTGTGAGTGTTTCCGTTATATTTCGTGTGGGTCGTCCGAGTGTCTTAAACTGTGTTGACCGCCACCTAGTCCGTATGTGTCAAAAGAGTTTTTTCTATTCCAGCATTATAAAAGAACCTTTTCTGTAGCAAGAAATCGTTCATAATCGGGTATTTTACGGCACAAATGATGACGTATTAGATTTGATGTCACGAATGATTGCGTCATCACACATTCAGCCAAACGTAGCGAGAGAATCGGGGGAGGTAGAGCTAAACGGAACAGCCGACCACTGTTTACTCGCACGATGTCAAATACCAGAGTCGTTACAGGGTTGCAAAATTAAGTTTGATTCTCTTTTAAATGTATAATGCTGTTATACAAAAAAAAATATAGTATGCAACTCCTTTATAATGTTGCTTTATTACATTTGTACAAATTTGAAAACTCGCTCCTAAAGTCGCTCGTCTTCAAAACACGTACTCGTGCAATAAAGCTTAACATTACAAACTAATTGCGTTAACTATTAGCACGCTCCAAAAAGTATATCTCGAGGAGTATTAAAGACAATTTGCTTCATCTGGGAGAGCCTACATACAAGATTAGCTACATTGACATAATTGAATTGCTTATTTCAGAAAATGGAGAACAGTAGCTTTTCACTTTGGACAAGAAACCTACTACAGCTATACGTCACTGTCTCAATTTTCTTAGAAGTTCTATTCAAAACAACTTACAAAAATAAGACATCAATTTAATTCAATTCAAAATCACTTGATTAATGGTAGTTCTGGCTCAAAAGATGCTATACCTAAAGAGAATGTGTGTGCACTAAGAAGTCAAAATATTGTAAAATTGTGCTGGTGTAGCTTTTGAAATAAATCAATAGTCAATCTCGAAAGAGCAAAGGATAAAGCAGATATTTTGTTCTAGAAATAAATATTTAGTTTGTTTACTATAATTGATAGTTCTACAATTCCCCGAATCTAGGTATGCGTGAAGACTATAGTACTGTCTTCAGCCACCAGATGGTGATGCTGCTTCCCATAGGTAGCTCATTGCAGCAGAAATTGCTCCGGCCTGCCAGTAACATCGATAGGACAACACGGCAACACAAAAGTATGAGAAACGGTGGGCACTGTGGTTTCTCTGGAGGTTAGGCGTGACTTCAGACATCCACAAGAGGTTCGTAGCCATGTGTGGAGAAGTCAACAAGTCTCGGATCCGTGTTTCGCTGGGTATCAGAGTTCAAAGCCGGCAGAATTTGCTGAAAAATGCAAAAACACTGAGCATCCACCAACTGCACTCCAACCAAACAATGCCCAGTGCGTCAATGGCTTGATAATGACAAACAGGCGAATCACATCTGATGGTTTAGAGAAGGCAACATGTCTATCATGGGAACCCCTCCACACCGTCATCCACGAGGATTTGAAGATGATGTGTGCACAATGGGTGCCCTATACCCTCACCATTGAGCCAAAGCAATTGTGTGGAGATGAGCCCAGCAGTTAGTTAAACAGCACAGGGTGAATCCAGCGGAGTTCTTTAGGCGTCTGGTCACCAAACAACTGCTCATGTTTCCTCCTTATTCGCCGGATATGGCTCCTGACGACTGTGCCCTATTTAACGCAATGAAAGAGGTCATGCGGAGTAAGAAGTTCACTACCAATGACGAACTTCTTGCTGTAGGCCAACAGTGGCACCGGGTTACAACCAAATAATGGTTTTCTAGGCAAATACGGATGATGTAAGAATGACAGCAAAATTTGCGGGGAATCTTTTAATATGATCTCTATTCGTTCGTTCAGTAAATTGTTCCTTTGACCACAAAACAATTGTTGGGCCAATCATTTTTGAACTTTTGTATTTTTCCAAGCTAATATATTTTCGCAATAATTTTCACTGATAATGCACTGAGAACTTTAAAAATTTGATAAGTTTATACTTCATTAGCCCAACAGTAGACGACAAATTAGATCGCTAAATGGTGCATTTAGAAAAGCCTTTTTATTTTTAATAGAATGCTAACTCGTATTTTACAAACAGAAAAATTGGTTTCAAATCATCGCAACACTAAATGTATACACCAAGCTTACTTTACTGGCAGAGCCTCACAGTTGTTTTAAATTGTACACTAATGGTGAATCGCAGCAACAGGAGAGTTTCACAACTTTTCATACTTCTTTAATTAAAAAAACTAAATAAATAAAGCAGCTGTCTACATCTTTCCTCCCAGTTAGCCAAAATATCAATCTTACTATAATTTTTTTTGCCAATGTCTTATATGTAAAACACATATAATAGATCATTAGGCTTATTGTGATATAAAAATGTTTTATGCTTATTTTTTTATAGATAATAAAGGTGAATGCGGGAGCGAAGTTATCCAATCGAAAGCTTTCATTTTTAATGACGCAAAGTCAAAAATACTTCTTAAAAGACTATTAATGGTTTGGCATTGTTGAGTACATCGTTTATACATCGTGGAATATAAAAATGTAAAATATTCTCCTTTTCATTGAAATGTCCTTTTTTAAGTAATACATCCTCCATCGGGAAAATATTTTTGGTAACCCTGGGTATCGGGGTCAGGTCGGGCGAGAGATTGCTCGATGAAGGTTGGGCAATCAGCGTTTGTTTAGTTTAGATTTATTCAGTCAAAAAAACAGTAAACACTGTATGTGACATAGGAGGGAGAAGATTATCAGCGCACATTTTTTTGGGTTCCAGAATCCCTTACCGTCGTTTTTACTATAAATAGTTGAAAGATGAGTAAACGTTTAACATAAATAAATAAAAATAAATTTTAAAAATCGCACGATTAGCAATATTTGAAAAATAGTCTTTTTCGTTTCTGAGTTACAGAAAACTTATTTGCATCAGTACATGGATTGCAAGTATGATTTTTCTGCATTGCTAACAAAGTAGCAACTCGCCCTTACCTCTCCCTTACCATTTCAAGCAAAAGGAGAGTTCAACAAAACGTGCGCATAGTGAAGCTTCATTTACGCCCAGAAGCAAAACATTGGGCCATTGCAGCATTTGCTCAATGGATCAGGGGAAACTGGACAAAAACCAGATCGAGATGGTTTGAACTCCACCTGACTGTGATACCAACAGTTATTATTTCACATTTTAACTTTTACAAAATTGTGACTTGGGAATATTTCGTTTACAAACAAAACATGGAATACAACCGTCCAACACCACAAAATCAACTTACCACATTACAAGAGATGAAACATTTCGAACGAAATAATCATGTAGAAACTACTACAAATGCATCAGGGAGCAAACTGACAATGATCCCGTTTTGTATCCATCAGTACGCAATGGCACAAGACAATTTGAAAAGCAAAATATTAATAACCTGCCACTCACCAAGCGTTACCTTATGAATTTCAATGGCCTCTCCGATTTAAATTTTCATCGTTTCTACACCGTTCCAATGGTAAACAAGTGACAATGGTGACCTCGCAGCGGTGCAAATTGCGAGTAATTTTTGCTCTTCACTTTGGATGGTGAAAGCTGGAAGATTACGTGACTCACACTTTTAATTCCTCGCAAAGATTTAACAAAGCCTTTATTGACACTGATATACTACAAGGTCCTTGAAGACATCTCCGCAGCTCCTTCTACATCCAGGTTCATTATTCAGCTATTTCCACGTCCACACTAGTGTTGTTAGCTTGAAAGTAAAAATTGTTAATCTAATCCTTGAAGAGAATGTTGATATTTGTCTTTTCTTAAAAGAACAAGTCCCTTGAAAGTTTTAGACAGCAGACTTTTTGTCATTTCCTTCTTTCATATCAAGTATAAGTTAACCTTAAACACATTTTTTAATCTTCAAACCACATTTCGGGAGTTACTGCAGTCTCCCCCCCCCCCCCATCTATTGCAATTGATACAATAAAATTAATTTTAATTACTACACACAACAATAATTTAAGTACAATTATTGTTGTAATTTTTGTAATTAAAATGAATTTTATTGTATCATAGTAGAATTAACGATGGGGATACAGTGACTCCTAAAACTCCACTTGAAAACTGTCAAAAATGTGTTTAATGTTAACTTTAACTAGAGGAAATAAATCATAAAACTTCTGATGTCTAAAATTATGATGAGACTATTGCGACTTTTGAGAAAAGACAAAAGACAACAAGACTATTTAATTGTATAGAACGAATCTCGATACCATTAAATTTAGACAGATTAAATATTCTGCAAGACCTTTACTTGTCAGAATAATAAATAAATAAAAAAATACAAAATGATTAAATAAGTAAAGAAGTGGAAGATGCAATGAAGCATTAAACACAATTGATGGCAAGAAAATAAGATATTGTTGAACCCATCAACGTCCTCCTCTATCATCAACTAGCAAAATTGGAGCCATTAAAGAAGGTTCTAAATAAAGTTATTTCTTCTCAAAAATATGATGAATGAACAATGATGAATGAACAACAAAAATATGATACAATGATCACTGCAATACCAACATTCACTTTACGTTTAAATGTTCAACGAACTAAAGTACTATTTAATTGCACATTAAATAACTACCACCATTACTTTTTGAATAAAGTCAATTTACTACATTCTTGTAATTGTTTATTGTTTCACATATTTTCATATTTTGTCTAATAATAACAAAAACAATAATATTACAGCCCCTTATTTATTACATTCTATTAACCTGTTTTATAAGTTGCTTTATACGTATAACTAGCCATCACTATTGCATATGGGATTGGCTTTAAAAATGTATGGTAACCTTAATTAATCATGTTATTTTCTCCACATGCAAACCTATCTTGGAAGCGTTTAAAATTGTTCCCTGAAATGGCAATTTAAATTGAAATTACCATCATCGTTATGACATCACATTTTCATAGGAGGTCAGTTGTCGTTTTCTTTAGTATATAACTGGTACTTTTTTGTATGTGGAACAAAGGTGCATCTTCATAGAAAGATTACTAAGAAAAGTATTTCTTAACACACTCAAAAGTTTACTGGGTATCTTAACATTACATACACGACTTTGATGGGTTTTTATAAAGAAATTATAAATATTAAAAAGCTATTGTTACATAAAATGAATTCAGAAACATATCACGTTTCTAGACAGATGCATTCTCTAGTTAAAACTATCTATACTTTATGACACTACACAGATGAAATGTAAAGAGAAGAATAAAGTTGGAATAAGATTTTAAAATCAATCATTTTGTAAATCTGAAACTGTGGAAACACTATTTCTTGCGCAATGTTCAATTTTGAAGGAGTGTATTACAATTGATACCTTTGAGAATATTTCCTTTCCCTGAATTTTTTGTAATTTATACATTCATGCATTCATTAATAATAGAAAAAAAAGAGGGAGAGGGGGGGGAGACGACAGGACTAAACCCATGTATATCATATATATCATAGTGTACTCAATGGGATAATTTCCATACTTAAACAACAAAAAATAAGATATGTAGATCATTTGAAATCTTATTTAAAAACCATAAAAACTGTTCCTGATTAACGATATTGAAAATGAATTGAAGTGAATCTCTTAATATTTTCGCTGAAAGAAGTTACCTTGATGTTTTATAACTTAACCTAATATTATATCACAACATAAAATGACTCAATTACTACAACTTTCTTCCTATTCTAATTTAGAAAACCGAATATAAATCTTGAGTACAGAATAATTTTAGAAGTTTTCTGCTAATTCCTATCCATTTCCTTTCTATTTCCTTTCCAACCAAAATGGAAAAAACATTCCACACTTAAAGGCAAATAGTATATAATACTTAAAGAGTATTGTGAAATAAATGAATTCCATTATAAAGACTGAAGTTTTGGAAACAACTTCACAACTTCAAACTGACATACAAATTGTGTAAATAGACCATCTATTTTAACAGAAAGAAATCCTAAAATTATATTTAACTTTGCTAAGTATACTTTCTAAATATACTGCTTCAAAGATTTTTAAAATTTATTATTGTCAGTTATGTGCAGATGACTTAAAGAGTCTATACTACATTCAGTTCAATAACTGATAAATGAAAAACAATTCTGACGAGATTTTCTTTAATTTAGAATACCAAAATTCAATCTAATAGAAGAGTAATATGCTCAATAAGTATGTAATTCTTCGTTATTTGATATTAGAAGTCTCCTAGAACTCTTAAAAAGAAAAGATACAACTAATATTTGTTGACATTTTGTGAGTATGTGTTCTGTAACGATTCAATTAACAGAATATAACTCCTATTTAACACATTCAAAATAATCCGATGAAAATATTTTAAAATGAATACCCACATCAGAAAACAATTCAAGAATAAAAGGTGTTTCAAAGAGCACACTCAAACATGAAACAAACTGAATGAAAGGAGTACTCACCGCCTTCCTCTTGTCCTCAGCAGAAACAGCACTATGTGAACGGTGGCGAAACATGTCGATGACTTTTGAGACAGGACCCCTGCTGGCACTTTCTGATCCAGCGCGAGGGCGTCCATGAGAAGCCTGATTTGCTGAGTCACTTGAATGGTTGTGAGAGCCACTATCCGCTGAACCAGATGAAGAACCTCTGTTGCTTGATGGTGAGGAAGACGACATGTGCTAAAACAAATATTCAGATATTAAAATATTAATTACTATGCCATTATAAAACATTAAATTACATAAAATTAACTTCTTAGAAACAAAATATAGGCCCAATATATACAATCTGTTAGGCTTCTATTAATAATGAAGATCAAGTAGAAATAAAACCATTAAAAATATGTACATTATTTTTCAACAAATCATTTAATGGAACATTCATATATTCTGTTATTCGAGAACAAGGATTTAAACATTGCAGGAGCAGCTACTTTACGGGCACAGCAGCATTGTGAAATGGATTGTGCTGCAGCATTTATCAACATTTAATGATTCCTTTCCCAGGTTTAGAATTAAAATTATAATTTTATTATCATTATTCCCATCAAATGCAGAAAACTGAAAATTATAGACATTTTAATACCTGATTCACACTGAGGAATAGACTTCAAATAGTACAATCTGTGTACAAAATTCTGCAGAAAACTAGCTTGAATATAGTGAAATTCTAATTCATGGAGTAAAATCAAATAAAAAGTACTTCTTACATATATAAATTTCATTAATGATACTGAAATTATGAGATCACAAGGTACTTTTCTACAATGAAAGGTTTTCATAGAAATCTGTTAAGTTCCACTAATATGTATAATGACTATTCATAAATTGTACTTAATTTCATAATTACAGTTTTTTAAAAATATTATCAGAAGTACATAAATGCACTTAAACAGTTTAAAAATTGTTTCTTGGTGTAATAAGTACAAACATATAACACCAAAATAAGGAAAAGTAAGTAATTTATTTTGCATAACAAAGTTCACAAATTTCACATTGACAATTCACAGTTATTTTCATAGAAGACAAAGCATTTGAACTGGAAAGATATTGGATGCTTGTCCACATGCATAAATCACAATATTTAAATAAATTACTGATTGAATAATGCATTTATGCAACTTTTTTTTCATATCTAGTATTTCATAGGAGGCCTATAATGAAATGACTCCATTCATATACACATTGATAGTGTGCAAAAGTATCTTAAACGTTTCTGTTAGGATTTTATTTGAGATAAATTAAGAAGCTATGGTAAAGAAAAAAAAAAAAAAACTCAGGAAGAATTTAAAGACAAAAACAGAAAAATGCATGAAAAGCAATTTATAAGCAAGCCAATAAAATTAATTTAAAAGATTTATTCAGAGCAAAGATTTTAGAATATAACATTTACAATTTTGATATCTTAGTCATTACTGGTAAACTTAAGCAAATCAACAGTTTCTTTCCTATTACCAACATTAAAGTACAGGTAAAATTCAATTTTGAAACAAATTTTTTTAATATAATAACTTTCATGGAACCAATGATTAAAATTATTTATTTTAATATATTGTTTTGTTTGCAAATTCAATTAAATTTTTGAAAAGAAAAAAAAGTTTCTGATCTGGTATATTTCTGAAGTGAAAAATAAGATATAGTAGAAATGTAAATATCCAGAAATGCAAAAGAATGTTAGCAAAGGAAATGAGAAGACGAAAGAGACATAATTTGTAACATTTACATCATATTATACAGTAATTTGTGATCTTTGATATAAAGGATCAAGGTTTCATTAAAAAGTTCATTCACAAATATTGGTAAAAACCAGTAGATAATAGAATTTGCCACAAAAATTTAGAGAAAACTGAATTTATTAGAAGAAAAAGTTGGGTTTCCATTTTTTAAGCATTTATAGTTGGTTTTGTATGGGATGGGTTGGTTTTAAGAGATTTTGCAGACTGAGAACTGGGCTCACTGGTACATTATTGCATAATCGCTTTAGAGCTACTTTAGGGCTAATTTGCCTTTTTCAGTACGCTTTTCAAGGATTAAAGGCAATTATCTCAATAGAATAGCGATTTGAAGGAATTTTTTTATTACAAGAGAACTCTAGTTAAAGAAAATAAGTCATCACGTTACAATGACACGTTTTCAATAAAAGTTTAATTTATTTAAGTTTGAGCAGCATCTGCTAACTTTGAAGTAAAATTGTCTTAACACATTTTCACTTAAATACTCCATGAAACTCATAGAAGGTCAACCAATTTTTAAAATGTTAATGGAAATAGGAAATGTTAAAAGAGAGAAATAGGAAACTTACATCTTGGTAACTCTTTGAACGTCATGACAGTTTCTCAGAATTAATTAATAATATAGCCTTGTCTTCATTTACATCAATTTACCAAATAAATTTCTCTTCTTCGTTCAATTTTATATTTATCAAAAGGTATTGCTTATGTTAAATTTGCCATTATATTATTTTTTTATAATGAATTTTTTATGATTATAAAGTCAACTCTGTGATCCTTTTGAATAAAACTAAAATAATTTCAGCTTCATTAACATTACAGTGTTTTAATAGAACCAGTATAATGGAGGTGTCCTTTCAATAAAATAGACGATATTCAAAACTTACTGTAATGGTTACAACTTTCAAATTGGCACTGATAAAACATTAACTATTTGTAGTTTTCATTGCAACCTAGTGGAGAAGCTCTTGGAACTCAGGCCATCTTGTATCTCAAGCCTGCAGAGGCTTTGAAAAATTGGCAAAGGAAAAAACTGCAATGTCAGTGATTTCAGTGTTGGTGCTGGCAGCACTGTCACTTTCATTTGCAATTTGTTTATGTGCATTTATCACGATTCTAAACGAAGTAATTTAACTGAATTCACTAGCAATTCTACAAGTAAAATTTCTGACATTTGCATATTTGGTTTCTATGAAAATCTAAGGTTAATTTCATATGGGTACTGCTATAACCTATACAGATTTATAATCTGTATTATAACCTATTCAGATTTTTGCATAATATTATTGATTTAAAAGATTACTAAATTGATAGAGTTATCAATCGGCATAGAGAAGGGTCTTGCCTTGGGTCAATTATACCTTAAGCCAACCTTAACTTCAAAAACTAAGAAAAATTGAAAACATTTCAGTTTACATGTTAAGTACATTGTGTTAAAGATTTCTAGTTTTACAGGTGATGAATGTTTGAGCAGTAATTTAATGGATTGACTTATTTGTGTAAGTCAATGCCCTACACAGCATAAATGAGCATTCATACACATTATTAATACCTCTGGTTAACCCCCACCAACCGATCTATTGCTGCATACCTCATCAGTAGATAACATTAATCTATTTGGATCCACAACCATTAGAGAAACATAACGGAAAACTAGATAACAGAAACAAAAAAGAAAAAGAAGTTAGTCGAAAACCAGGAGTGTCAAGGGTATTGTCAAATACTCCAGAGAGAAATGAAATTGAAACTCCTGTGTTTAGAAAATCAAAATTATGACACAGTTTAACCAAGGAGCATGGGAAAAATTCCAAATTATACATAGAAAAGTAGATAAACTAATATTAAAAGGAAGTTATTCAAAATAGACTAAAGTTCTTAAAGCAAAATTTATATATTATAGTAAAATTAAAAATGATTTCCTCTATTTACCATTCATGAAATATCGTGTATATTTTCCTGATTGCTTGTCAATAAGGAGAGAAACTAGAGATTCAGTGATTGATGATCCAAAGGTACTTTTCTTTCATGAAACTCTTAACATTTTGTTGTTTAACCAAACTTTAACTGAGAATTATGGAATGGAAAATTATGCAACAACTTCCATGATTAAAACCTAATTGGAGAATGCTTTAAAACCCCCAAATTAAGCAACGTTCTTATAACGAAGTAGGAAAACATGTCAATTAAATGAAAGTGGTCAAAGATATAAGAGTCTCCACTACATCAAAATTAAGTAATTGAACAGTGACTACTAAACATTATACAAATGTTTCAACAAAATTTAAATCTGAAACACAAGATTGCAACAATTTTTTTTAAAGGGCACATTTTAAAAGTTGTAATTTAATATCTTATCCATAACAAAGTAAAGAAAACAGAATCAATGCTTTAATTGTCAGGAATGTTTGAGACTTTTCAGGAATGATGTAGACATTTCAGCATTTAATGAATTACGTGCTTATTCTATTCTTTATTAGCGAGTAGCAATATCCATTTCTACCTGTATTCACTTTAGTATAAAGATATTGAAAAGCATTTGGTATAAGATTTGTAAAAATCTAAGATGGTGTCAGAGTAAAGGAAATAATGAAGGCGATAATGCGAGGAAATAGAAAAATCTTAAAACATATGAAAGATGATCAACATTCTACAATCTATGTATTTAAAAATAGGATATGTTAAGGTCAAGAGTAAATTTGATGGAAAATTAGAAAAAATGTTTCCCAAAACAGTAGTCCTTAAATTGTTTTACACATTCTGTAATATCTTCAAAACAAATGTAGAATTACAACGAAAAATTTAATTCTAATTTATTTTTAACCCGTTTATTCACAAGTTAAATTTATCGCACATTGTAGGCTCTCATTGTCGTCTCGCCTGCTCATGAATTTTACAGTTGGAGCTACCTAGTTTGCAACCTTTATTGCTAAATCAATGTTATTTTGCTAAATTATACAACTAGAGCACTCCAAAGCTCCAACCATACAAGCAATTTTTATCTACAAGGGATAGCAAATCCATTAGCAGCATTAGACCCTAGCAGTACATGCTTCATCAACTGTTGCTATAAAAGGCCCTCAATAATTGGTTTGATTTCTATATTTCATTGATTCAGTTTTATTTAATGGAATATTTGCAAAGGAAATGATTTTCCACCACCTGGTCATGACTTCTTCAGATTTTATTTCATGCAATGTCACATATCACTTTTTTTGTGGGGTAGTGGTCATAAGCAGAGATGTGACGCATTAGTATCTTGCATCAATTCTCGTATGAGAGCATGATCTTCCAAGATCAACACAAACTTATCAATGGCATGTTTTATACATATGACTATGAGGAACTCTAATGCAATACCATTCAATACTCTACTTTTCAAAAGAAAGTTCCATAATTGACATATATATTAATATTTATAATACGACATTAGTTATCTTCTATTTCAATTCTTGGACAGTTCATTTGTGTCAACAACTTCTGAAATTTCAAAACATTCTAACTTACTCATTTAACTTTCTTTTTATTAAAAAACAACCCTTAAAAAAATTTAATATCGCAAATTAGCAGTATGTTACACATTATATTATAATTTGCTTAAAAATTTAACTGTTCATTGTCTTACTGATCTAGAAAAAAGTTTTAATAACGGAAAAAAATAAGTAATTCTTACAACAAATTTAGCCAATACTTTTCAACTGTAACATCATCAGTGAATTATTTAATTTTTTCCCTTTTACTGACAAAGAAAATACTTTTTGTTCTTTCCCATTTCTTCTCAGGTTTATTACTTTCCTATGTACATACTATATACCAGAGGCTTGCGGTGATTTATTTGTATACCCAGTTGCTAGCGGCCAACCAGCTTCCTTCCCCCGATCTCTTTTTTTATTATCAGTTGTAATTGTGCCAATCCTGGTGTTAGCCTACCATTTTCAATTGCCTGAACATTCTCGTGGAACAATCTCGTTGAAAATGGTCTCCTCAAAATATCATCACTAATGAGTATCAGGAATGATTCTCTGTAGTATAGGCATTTGTAATACACTGCAAAGTTACTACAATCCCTCACAAAATACAAGTAATTACAAGAACACGTTGCAAACACTACAATGGATCACCACTGCGTATTGCACTGTCCTGACACACACATTGAGTCTCCAATAAGAATACACTGTGCTATTCACAAATTAAGGATTCTGGGGATCAGATCACAAGCTAGTCAAAACTTCCTTCCTCAGAAAAAGTTATAAAATCTCTACAGAACATTCTGGTTCACTCTCGTTACAGAGAGAAAGGTGTGCCCCATAATCATATTATAAGTTATAAACTTCTCGACAAATGATATGTTAATTTATACAAACAAAATATTCCAATTTAAAATAATTTTGCCTTGTGATAGCACTGGCTTATGGGTAATCACGTTCGCAGACAGGACGAGGCAGGGGTAGGGGGACTAATGTCACCCATATACTAGGGTGAAGAGCATATAGGCTGAGGCTTCTCCCTCATCGCCACCTAACGCTGGTCCAGTTAAGTAGATGCGTGTCCAACACCCAGCCCAAGCCCAGTGAAGATGTCAGACCTGGGGATAGAGCACTGCAGAAGGCCGTAGACCGCCGCACAGATCGCAGTAGTGTACAGTGGGTGCACTATTTTTGATCATGTGACATACGGTTCATTGTCATTTTAATTCTCAAAATTCACCAAATTCTTATTTTTTCTTATCCCAGCAGTGCTGGGGTGAAATGCACGCCACTGGTATATACGGAGTATACACGTAGTGAAGAGAAAGGTATATAATGTTGCGGAAAATCGATTTCGAGATTTCAACGGAAATGCACATTTCGGGGTCTACTGATTCGGAATCAGTTTTTTCGGTAAAAATATTTTTTCAACACGTCCGTCTGTAAACAGCACTAGCGCCTAAACCATACGAAGGATTTTTTTTCGAAAATTCCCCGGGCGTTTTGGCTCGACTCCAGGCGCTGCAATTTTGACAAAAAAAAATCAAAATTTGGGGGTATGTAACATGAAGCCCTCCAGACATTTTCAACATTTTCTCAAAAACGGCTCCAATTATTTTCTTTAAACTTTTGATAGAGATGCTAAATGCACTCTGTAAGATCACATAAACGCCATATTGCTCTATTCTTTGAAAATATGTTAAATATGGTCCGGCGTATCCTTTTGGGCCAATGCCTCGTATCCAGAGGTGTGCGGTCAAGGAGGGGGAGGGGAGGAGAGCTTGCCGCCATCACAACCCCTGAAAATTTGGAAAGGAGTCCCGCAAGCGTTATCAAACGTATTTATATATGTATGCTCACCCTTACCCCGTTTTCAACCTGACAATTTGGAGAATTGTAATATGATATATCGGGAAGAGACTCGCTATGGCGTCCGGCAACCCCATAAATGACCCACCATAAAATAAATTACATTCATTAACTATACCATTAAAGATCATTTCATTCTCATTGTATATTTTATTTATTTAGTAGTAAAATATTTCATACGTAAGTAAACATTTTATTGGAAAACGGAGCCCCGGAATGTTATTGTCGCCCTATCTTGCTTTCAGTTGTGCACGCCTAATGCTTATATGAATTAATATCGTTATATTATAACGAACTTAATAAATTAATCACTTGTTTCAACACAATAGAGTAAAAAAATGCGAGACGTAACGACTCTCAACAGAAAACTTCTCACGTGACACTACCCACCTTGAACTGCTCGTCTAGGACCAGTCATACAATTATTCACGAAGATGGAGTTTTCTTTCGAAGAAACCGTGGACTGGCGGTTAAATAAAATCTTCATTGCATGTACAAGCACATTTAAACGATCTCAGAAAAAAATGGTTTATATTTGTTGAGCTAACGAATGCTGCTTTCACGACCTCAACCTTCTTCCCTCAGCCTACCAACCTACCGGGAAAACAGACTCAACTTCGAAAAAAATATTTGACGTTCCTAATAAAATACCTTCCGTTAAGACTGAACGTGCTATGAAAATTCAATGAATTCGATGAGACTAGGAAATTTCACATGAAAAGGAATGGACAATATGGTTATTTTGAACTCCTTTATGTACTTTCTTGAAGATAGGTGTTAAGTTTCAAGACATTTCAATTTGAAGTTCTGATAAAATTAAAGACAAAAACTTGTTTCTTATAACGGTTCACACTGTTTATCTTCCCTCTCAGAAACCACAATTAAATATTAAGATTAATTATTTATGAACGTTGTGTAAGAAAAGTGGATTTCGGGTAGATGTTCTTTCAGGCATTCACATTTCTATTGCGTTTGGTTGCATATTTCTTCAGACTGATTACTTCCTCTCAATCATTATTACCATCATTATTCAGTGTATGCTTAAGCACACGGGTGTTCTTTATAGGTGTTATGATAAAATAAAATATTTACGAACTTGATGAAACACATTCCAGAAATTGTGCAAGATCACACAGATGACCAATAAAATTCGAACATTAAACTGAGCTCCCAAAACACATAAAAAAGAAGGAAGATCAAAAGTCACTTAAAACTTAAGGAGAGGAAGGAGGAATGTTGAAATGAGATGTAAAATAAGTGCAAGGGACAAGGTGGACCATCTAAATCAATAAAGAGCTAAGCGCTTAACGATTGATAAAGATTGTGAAGTACCCAGATCACGTAAAGAGGAAGTTGAAGGCTCGTTCAAAAACTCAGGAAACGGGTCAGTCTTTGAACTGTGTTTAGCTTGAAAGGGAGGGTGAAAGCGAGTGGGTGGAGCATGGATAGGCGTGCTGAAGCGGAGAGAGGGTGATGGGGTAGGGTGGGGCGGGGCAAAGTGGGGAGGTGCGGAAGGGATCAAAAATATTTTCCGGGTAAATATTTACCCAGAAAACGATGGGTTAGTCCAGATACTCAATTTTCTCACATCCTCGTTCACTAGTACAGAATAAATGATTTGCGTAAGATTGGTCAACAATGATCAGAATTTTTTCAATCGCAGTTTTCACAATTAAATTAAGGGTGGTTAATTAAGTAAATGATGTCAATCTTTATAATAATTTTCTGACTACATTCTGTAGCTCATTGACCACGTCACGTGTTATATAAACTAAATATAGGAAAACCCTGAGGGGAGTGGAAATCGAGGTCTAAAATTTTAACGTGAAAGGAGAAATTTAATCTTTTAAAATAAAAATACAGTAAGCCTGATAAATATTGTACTTACCATAATACAATGTATGGCTGCTTTTATCTACGATCTAACGCAAATGATCTAATTTAGTATTATTTCCCGCCTATAAAGAGCGTACTATGCGAAGCAGCATATAGTATATCAGAATCTAAAATCTAAGCAATCACCCGGATGGTACACATCTAGTAGGAGAACGACGGGCAAACGAAATACTTCCGATTGCTAAACGAAATCAGGGAGTTATGGAGTTTGATTATCAAATGAAATTCGGAGTTAGGACAGGTGAATATCGAGCATCCATAACGAAGGAAAAGGAACGTTGCACTTGGAAAATGGGAAGCGGAGAGGGAAGGAAGCGGAGAGGGCGGAAGCGGAGAGGGCGGAAGCGGAGAGGGCGGAAGCGGAGAGGGCGGAAGCGGTCCAGCGCGCTCCAATCGAACGCCGCGTCGCCCCAAAACCCACACCCTCATGTCCACATGCGCACACGCCATGCAGTGGCGACCCCCTCACCCGCTCTTAATTTACTCCGCCTCCCTTCTCCGACTTGCTCCGCCCCCTCTCGCTTCCGCCCTCTCCGCTTCCCCCTCTCCGCTTCGCCCTCTCCGCTTCCCTCTCTCTCCTCCGAACTGTTCGACATGCGCTCTCCTAATACCGCCT